CGCGGTCCCAAGCCAGCTGGTTGGAGCCGGGAGCCGCTGCTCTTCCACTCCGCCCGCCCGCTCAAAGTTGCGGGGATCTCCCTTCTGGAGGCAGTCTCGTCATTTTTCAATGGTGACAGCGGGAGGGCAGGGGAACCAGAGGAGGAGGAGGCGAAGAACATGCTATAAAAGGACCCGTTAGCCTCTCACCGCCGCACAGGCACAGTGCGAACGTGATAATTCGGAGGGAAGCCCCAGCGAGCGGAGCGGTAACGACACCCGTTCCTGCCACTGAGAAGTGTCAAGGGAGCAGGGTGACAGCGAATAGCCGCCAAGCATGCACGCAATTCCGACCCCCTACTTCCCCGGGTTGCTTTCCAGCAGTCTAGCCAAAAGCGGGGAAGTTAGGGTGGAATGCAAGAGAAATCAGAGTCCCATTTAAATACAGGGCGCTTCACCTCAGCAGTTACATCCCTTTCCTCCCAGCCCTTCCTTCTGTATTGGACACATAACTGCTTTGGGTGAAAGTGAATAAGCATGCACGCAATTCCGACCCCCTACTTCCCCGGGTTGCTTTCCAGCAGTCTAGCCAAAAGCGGGGAAGTTAGGGTGGAATGCAAGAGAAATCAGAGTCCCATTTAAATACAGGGCGCTTCACCTCAGCAGTTACATCCCTTTCCTCCCAGCCCTTCCTTCTGTATTGGACACATAACTGCTTTGGGTGAAAGTGAATCTCCAGCCTTGTAGAGAGAGAGAGAGAGAGAGAGAGAGAGAGGAGCTTTCTGCTCTGGTGCACACAGATTTATGGCTCCCAGGACACACCTGGGTCGTAGGCTCAGAGTTCGTAAATAAAAGCCCAAATATTCTTCAGACTTACACAACCTGGAAAAGGTTGCTAGGCAAGCCGATTTCCGCCATTAAAAAAAAAAATCACTCTTCCTGCGAATGATTAAGAGCTGGTTAGAAGGAAACACACCTACGCAGTCTAGGGAACCTTCCAGCTAAAACCGATACGCACTCTTTTAAACGAGAAGATAAACCAGCTAGTCTATAGGGCTTTATAACCACTGAATGCATCCTGAGTTGCACCTACAAACATCTCTACATGGGCAGTAGATTTACTGATCGCCCTCTAATGGGCAATTATGGATTGCTGTTATTGTTGATAAACTATGGATGTGTTGATAAACTATGGATGTGTTCTTTGTTAGGCACTTACAATATGTACCAGGTATAGAAAATCCATATAGTCTCCTCCAAGAGTTTACCAATACATTTGACACAATAGGTTTCACAATCCTTATTAGCTTAGAATCAGAAGGGTAGCCCTGTTAATCTGAATCTGCATAAACAACCAGAAATCCTGAGACACATTTAGACTAACAGATCTATTGGAGAATAAGGTTTCGTGGGCAAAAGACCCACTTTTGCCCATGAAAGCTTGTTCACAGGACTTCTCCTTATTAGCCCATTTTCTGTAAGCACGGCTTTTGGTCCTCCCTCTCCGGTCTATCAATTTGGTTTTGGTAATTGTGATTTTATTAAAATTAAACCGAGTACACTAGTAGGAAATTGTTTTATTTCACTAACTATACATTTTCAGTTTTCATTTAAAAAAAAATTTAAACAGTAAAAAACAAACAAACAAACAAAAACCATTGGAAAGTGCAAACGTGTAAAAGCCAACACAAAAAAGGGGCGGCCAAAAATTTTTTTGCTTGGGGCGGCAAAAAACCTAGAGCCGGCCCTGGCTGGCTAAGAGCACAGACAGCCTCCTTAGCTTTCACTGAACAGCATTCTGGAAAATGTCAGTGTAGTCTGAGTTTAAACCCAATTGCTAAAAGGGTATTTGGAGACCTACTTTACTGTGAGAGATGGTTTGAAGAGAAAATTATTCTCTCCTTCCAAGGTTCCTGCTACAGACTACCTAAAACAATATCTCTGATAAACTTACACCGCCCAGTTCATCTCCGTGGGACATTAACTCTGAAACCTCATGACATTCATTTAGATGTCGGGAGGGATAGCTCAGTGGTTTGAGTATTGGCCTGCTAAACCCAGGGTTGTAAGTTTAATCCTTGTGGAGGCCATTTAGGGATTTGGGGAAAAAATTCATCAGGGATGATACTTGGTCCTGCTGTGAAGGCAGGAGACTGGACTCGATGACCTTCAAGGTCCCTTCCAGTTCTAGGAGATAGGCAATCTCCATTATAAAAAGATCCAAATCCAACCATTTTACTGTTGATCATGTAGGAGAAATAGCCAACATTCCTAAATTGCTTCTCACATCTACCTTCATAACAAAAGTCCCAACTGCCTCTTACCGAGCCACCAAAACTCCCAGCTTCCTCCCTGGCAAATTCTACAATGCTCTTACACCTTTTTAAAAAACCAGATTATGGGGGGGAACAGAAGGACGGGAGCCATACAGCTTCCCACTCCCTCTCAGAGAGGTGGAGGAGGGATTGGTGAGCGTAGTGTACATGGGGTGCAGCACTTTAGTTAACTTGAAAGTGAAAAAACCTGCCAGGGCTATTAGCAGAACATTGAGCCTGTGAAAGAGCCATTCAAGTGATAATGAAGCTACTTAACAGGCATTTGCCAGCCCCACGTATAGACTGTCCATTCCCCAACTTACTGTGTTAGTCGTTGGGACCTTTAATGAAACATTTTTAAAGCACATTTTAAACAGTGATAGAGATGTAGCCGTGTTAGTCTGCTGTAGCTGAAACAAAAAACAGGACTATGTAGCACTTTACAGACTAACAAGATGGTTTATTAGATGATGAGCTTTTGTGGGCCAGATGCACTTCCTCAGATCAAAAAATCATTTTTTGATCTGAGGAAGTGGGTCTGGCCCTCGAAAGCTCATCATCTAATAAACCATCTTGCTAGTCTTTAAAGTGCTACATAGTCCTGTACTTTATTTGAAACAGTGCATTGCTGAAAATTATAAAATCTAAAAAAATGTTGTCCTCTGATTCACTGCTGTTGCGCACAGGGGCACCAGTTTAATAGGACTGTCCAGGGCCTCCTAAATCCTAAGAATGGCCCTGCTTGAGCTTTTCCCAGAGACGGTTAGGTCAAACTTGCTGCAGAGCACATGGAAACCTTGCCTACAAATGTTGTACAATCTGACTAAAAGGGATGGAGTCCGGTTGGTCAGGCCCAACAATGTGTTTCAATGAATTGGGGGAGGGGGGAGGAGAGAGACAATTCAGCACAGGACTCAGTGCAAAAGAGTCACAAAGAGAAACTGACTAGTCTGGTTCATTGTACAGGTTAAGTGAAGGACAAAAGAAAACCATATGAATGGTGCAAAGCACACACAATTTCATTAAAATTAAAGTTTAATAATCGTGGTACAGGCAGCCCCCGGGTTACGTACAAGATAGGGACTGTAGGTTTGTTGTTATGTTGAATTTGTATGTAAGTCGGAACTGGCGTCAGCCGCTGCTGAAACTAATCAGTTTCAACCGCGGCTGAATCTGGATGCCAGTTCTGACTTACATACAGATTCAACTTAAGAAACCCAGGCGTCCCCAAGTCAGCTGCTGCTGAAACTGATCAGTGGCTGATTCCAGGAAGCCTGGGGCAGAGCAACTCTGCCTTGG